TATAGTAGGTTTTGAGATCTGGCAACGTGAGACCTCCTACTTTGTTTTTCTTCTTCAGTGGTGCTTTGCTTATCCCAGATCTCTTTCCTTTCCATATAAAGTTAGTGATAGTTTTTTCCATATCCCTAAAGAATGTTGATGGGATCTGGATTGGGATTGCATTGAATGTATAGATTGCTTTGCCTTCGCCCATTTCTTAATCATGTCCTTTTATTGTCAAATTTTAGGAGTTCGTTAAAGATTCCAGAAACTAGACTCTTATCAGATACATCTCTGTCCGTTGTCTGTCTGTGTCCTTCAGAGCACAGTATTCTTTCATGGAATTTGTTGTTTTTTGTTGTGACGTACTCAGCAGCACACACAGCAAGTCCACAGCTTCTCTGCGGACAGCTTGTGACATTGAAAGCACAAGGGTTTTCGTTGAAACCACGCCCACGCCGTCCTCGTTTCCCTGTGGCAGCTCGGCTTTTGCTGTCTTGTCTTAGAAACTGCCCCTAATCCGGGGTCGTGCAGATCTGCACCTGTGTTTGCTTAGCAGCATGTTATGATTTTAGTTCTCACATTTAAAGCTTGAGACCAGTTTTACTTTATTTTTAAATTGTGAAAATATACATAAATTGTGAAAGCATACACCGATTCAGGGATCTGTGTAGGAGATCCTGGACAGAGTGGGGGAACACTATGGAACAAAAAATCATTTTATAAAAAGGGGGTGGAGGGACACCAGGTTTGCTGGTCTGATAGAGCCTCATGGAACCCCTGAGACTGGCCCTTAGCTGCCCTTCCAGTCTGCAGATGAACCCATACCTGTGGCTTCCAGCCAACAAAAGACAGGCACATGAGCTGAACATTTACCTGAGGTAGATACGCTCCTTGGAGAGAAGATCAGTCATGGGAGAATAGAAGGGCTGTGTATGCACAGGGAGACGGCTCAGGGGGCAGGAATGCATGGAGGGATAGACACAGAGAAGAGGTAACTGGGCAGGAAGTGAGAGAGGAGCTGTTGCATTGTGGGAAATTGCAGTCAATGTCATGAGACAGTGTATGTGAGCTGCTGCTTGGAAAATGAATTTGCTCTGTAAATTTTCACCCAAATCACAATAAAAATTAAACAAACAAACAAACACGAATTCAACAATTTCTTTTTGTTTACCTCATAGGTCTT